GTCTTACTGTGATGTCAAGGGTTTATGAAAGACCCACAACCTATCTTTATAAATTTTCAACTCTGAAATTCCCCTGCTGGAGAAATTTTAGATGTTGGTAGCAATCCACACAATTACAAAGTATAGGTCCTGACCCAGAGCCAATAAGGGATGGTTCCGCCCACTGCACACTGCCTCACAGACGCTATTAGGCAAGAGAGAAGGATCCTCTTCGATAGCATCCAACAAAAAGAGTACTGTGTGCGTTTGTATGTCTTTGAGAGTGTCTCATACCCTTTTTCTGCTTGAAAATAGGAGAATCCAAGAAGCACAAGTCTGTAAAGAGGTCCCGTCCTCTCAGTTTCTAAGCGAGTGTGGGCTCCTTACAGCTTGTGATGGTGGTGCACCTGCCCTTAGGCAAAGCATGGCTGGGCTGTCTTCATGCCTTTTTGGAGACAGAGAAAGTTCCCTGATTTTCACTACAGGAGTCAGCAGGATATTGGTGACATCCTGCAGGCTACAACCAGATGACTCTTGATTCATGGGTAGGAAACCGGTAGGGGTTCTGGTTGGCGGAGCCTTCTCCCTATCTTTTTCATCCATGTATTTAGTTCTCTCTTAGGCCGAGGCCTGGTGACTGGGGATGAGCCCTCCAAATGTCTTCACATTGTTGTTTGTGCCGGTTTGGTTTTCTCTTGCTGTGCTAAGCACCATGACCAGGGCTTACACTTTTACATAAGAGTCCATCATTGAAGAACCAGGGGCAGGGAATGAAGCAGAAGCCATGAGAAGCTCGCTGGTGCATGTTCATGGCCCTCCTGCCTAGGGATGGTGTTGCCTCAGATGGAGGACTGAACCTTCCATATCAATCATCAACCAAAACAGTCTCTCACAGATATGGCTCGGGCCAATTTGATCAGGGCAGTTGTTTGCACAAGTTCCCAGGTAACTCCAGATTGTGTCAAATTAATAATAAAAACTAATGAGGTCACTTCATTTTCTTAAAAGTCAGAGTCCTGGGAGCGAGTGCCTGACTGCCAGAGCCAAAGGCAAATGCTCACACTCCCATGAAGCTCAGGGAGAGAACGGCCCTGTAACTTCACTAAGTTCTACCTCCACTGAACAGAACAAAAGGAAATGTGGACTCCACAACCAGAACAGCCAACGGGCAGCTGAGTCATCGAGGGAGAGTCAGTGAAGGGTCTGGGGGAAGAGAGGAATGCAAAGCAAAGAGAGAGGACAGCGCTCTGGAGAATCTGGACCACATTCTAAGTATCAAGAGAGATGAAGCGCACCCAGCAAAGACTCAGGAGAAAGCTACGCTTGCGATGCCATGGAGAGCATACAAGGCCAACAGTGACCTTTGAGAGAGCCGTCTGAACGGAGGTTGGGCAGCAGAAGCCGGACTGTAAGTGGAGACGGCATTAATGGAGAGTGAAGCAGGGACACAGGAACTTCTGAGCCAAGGGCTACACATCCAACCCCTGTTGTTTTAAGGGGCCTAAAATACACTCACCTGGGAGGAGCACACAGGGCTCTCGGGCTGCACTCCCTTGATCTTCACAAGAGCCCCAGGATAAAAGTATTCCAATTCAGAAATAGAGGGAAGTATACCCAATACCCCGGACTGGAGAAAATGCTCACTGTTTTCCAGGAATGTCTCGTGTTTACAGATACCATAAGAGTTGAAGAAATATAGATTCTCTGACCCAGAAATTTCTCTTTTTTTTGTATTGTTTTTGTGGTTTTGTTTTATCAAAACAGTGTTTCTTTGTGTAGTTCTGGCTGTCCTGGTACTCCCTCTGTAGACCAGGCTGGCCTCGAATTTACAAAGATCTGCCTATCTCTCACTCCCAAGGGCTGGGATTAAAGGCATGTAGCACCACTGCTCAGCCCAGAAACATCTCTTTAAAGGAATTTAGTCAAATCATCATAAGCACACACACATATTTCGGACTGTGGTAATTCAAAAGTGGCCCCCAATGGGAGCAGCACTATTAGGAGGTGTGGCCTTGTCAGAATAGGTATAGTCTTTTTGGAGAAAACATGTCACTGTGGGGGCGGGCTTTAAGGTCTCTTCTCAAGCTTCACTTACTGTGACAGTCAGTCGACTTCCTGCTGCCTTCTGGTCAAGATGTAGCCAGCACCACGTCTGTCTGCACACTGCCATGCTCCCTGCTGTGATGATAATGGACTGAACCTCTGAAACTATCCATGGTGTCTCTTAACAGCAATTAAAAAAAAAAAACTAAGACACTGACAAAGTACTACATTGTGACAGGAAAATCAAAACAAGCTAACTCCAACAGAAGACTGTGGCATAAGGTGGTACACGATCACCACCAAAAATTGTTGAAGGAGGAGCTGAAGCCAATGAAGGGGAAGTAGGTTATAATTTATTATGCAGGCCGAAGGAATAAAACACTATCCACACTACTACTGCATTCAGTGTGCACATGTGTAATTTTTTGGTTTTTCTCCTCTATTTCCCAAAGCTTCTACAAAAGAAAATATTGCTTTTGTGAAGTTTTAGATGATTTGGTTGGTGGTTTTACTGTTGTTTGGTTGGTTTTTGATTTTTGTTTGTTTGGATGGTTTCGGGGGGGGGGGGGTGTTTGGGATAGCTGCTCATTATGTAGCCCCGGCTGTTCTGAAATACCCTATGATGACGAGGCTGGCCTTAAACTCCGAGATCCACTTGCCTCTGTCTCCCAAGAGCTGAGATAAAAAGCATTCATCACTAACCTGGCCTTGTAAGGTTTTTTTGTTGTTGGTTTGGTTTGGTTTTTGGTTTTCCGAGACAGGGTTTCGTTGTAGCTTTGAAGCCTGCCCTGGAACTACCTCTTGTAGACCAGGCTGGCCTCAAACTCACAGAGATTTGCCTGCCTCTGCCTCCCAAGTGCTGGAATTAGAGGCATACCACTACTGCCTGGCCTGGCCTTATAAGGTTTTTAAAAGAAGGTCCTACATAATCAATTCTTGGTTAGGGTCAAACAGGAGTAGCTGAGAAAGGAGCAGCCAGACTTATCCTTACTTTCTGCCCATCTCTTCTATCACCTAGACTGCCTTTCCATATATATATATATATATATATATATATATATATATGTATATGTATATGTATATATATATATATATATAAAGCAAGAAGAGAACAAATCCCCTCAATAATGCAGATTTTTTTTTCTTGTTTGCTTTTTCAATGTTCAGGTAAAACAAGTCCTTTAAAACCAGCATACCAGGAACCCTGAAGTAAGAACCTTTCTCGTACTTAAGGAGAAAACACGAGAACAACTGAAAAGCGTTGAACCGACAATAGTAAAGATTTTATGGGCCTTCAAAGTACATCTAGATGTGTGGCCATAACAAGCCAGTAAAAACAAACAAAAATCCTGCTGGGCAGTGGTGGCTCACACCTTTTATCCCAGCACTTGGGAGGCAGAGGGAGGCAGATTTCTGTGAGTTCAATGACAGCCTGGTCTACAAGAACTAGTTCCAGGATAGGCACCAAAGTTGAAACCCTGTCTCAAAAAAAAAAAAAAAAAAAAAAAAAAAAAACAAAGTAAACAAAAATCCAGCCTCAGCCTCTTTTAGATTCTAGTCTTTCCCAGCTTGGAACTGTTACAATCCCAAACCCTCTTTGTTAGAAGAGTAAAAATCCCCCAAAGAAGAGATACTAGAGGAGGGTGGGCACACTGGCACACACCTGTAATGCCAACACTTGGGAAATGGAGTCAGGATGATTAAAAGTTCAAGACCAGTCTGGGCTACCTGGCAATATAGTTGAGACAGTCTGGGCTGTCAGAAAGAAAGACAGGAGGAAGAAAGTAAGGAAATGTGAGCAGAGGCTGAGTGGCTGCCCCTTCTGTGTTAAGGATTCCACAATGTTGATTGACTAGAATTTCAGTGATTGTAGAGAGATGGGAACCTTTAGGTTCTGAGCAAATCATAGTGAGATTTCTTTAACACCCTTAATAGTCTAAGTTCAATACCTTAATATATTTGAACAGCTATCCTTGTAACTATGAGTCAATTCCTTTCAGACAGTACAAACCAGCCACTGGCTTCTACGAACTCAAGGCTAAGAATTTAATCAGATAGTATCAGAGGCCTATCCTAGGCTCTGCTATAACCTGCATGCCTGACGTTCCCCCAACGTATTTGAAAGGGAAATTGACTTATAATTTTCTTTCATTCTTTTATTGTAAGTTCATGAAATACCAGTTGAAATGTGGCATTTTGACAACCTGGATCTGTGTCCCCCAGGACGTGGTCACTCATATTTAGTTACAGAACAAACTTATTTCCTTGTGTTTTTGAGGACAGAGTGAAGGAAGAGACTTAATTTAAGAGGTAAGCACTGTCTGACCAGGTGCTCAGGTAGTCGGAAGCCGAATTTCCAAAGGAAACGTGGAGCACTTAAAAATAATAATAATGCTAACTTTGGCGGCTTCTGTGATTGGTTTAAAGCAAAACTTACAGAAAGTAACAGCCAAGGTCTACTTCTGCCCAGTAGGTCCTATCCAAGACTCTCCTGGAGGCCGCCGCGAGGTGGCACAAGAGGGTGCGCCTATGATCTTTGTTTTAATCCCGCAGAGTGCAGAAACACCTGGGCGAGCAAACCACAGGAGCCCGCCTGCAAGAAAGGGAGCGGCCCGCCATGTGGGCAGGGCCGAGGTACTTGCTAACGGTGTTAGCTAAGGGAACTCCCAGGCTCTAAACTCCTCTCACCAAGGAGTTCAAACACACACTCCTCATCAAAAACCCCTCTACTGCATATGCGCGGCGAGATGAGCTACGGTGGCTCTGCTGGGAAGAATTACTAACGCGCTTCTGCTCCTCCAGTTCCAACCAGGAAGAATGAAACACCAGGACCAGTTTAGGACTATGGTCACGAAGAGATACCTGGGAAGGAGAGCAAGTTTATGTAGCCTAGAGAGCCAGAAAAGCAAGCACGTGTGGACCGTCAGGAACAGGGAGAAAATGTAATCTCTCTTCAGAGACAACCAGAACTTCCCAGGCCAGAGGCAGTCCTTGGGCTAGAGCTCCGCCCAGGGGCGTGGCCACGCGCTGCCTGGGGTGGAGTGGGGCGGGTCCTGCGGGACCGCTGGAACCGCACCCAGACAGTGCTGCGCAGCTCCAGTTTGCACCAGGCGCGTGAAGGTGAAGCAGGTAAGCGCTGGCACCTGCGAGCTGCAGGCGCTTTAGCTGTGCTGAGGCACCTGAACGCCTACGTGCGCACCGCTTGTATCTCAGCCACTGGGGATGGAATAGGGTCTCCCTCCAACCTCTCTCTTGTCGGTCGATTTCTCCGTTTCTCTACCCTCCTCCCGCCCTGCATCCTCTCCTTGGTGGAGTGGTGGCTTTTGAGCTACTAGATGAGACTCTCGCCTCGCTGTCTATAACTCAGGGAGATTCTCAAGGTCAGCTCATCCTCAATTCTTTATTTTCCTTTCTTCCTCTACTCCAGCTGTGTAAAGATCTGGGGCTCCCTCTTTCGGCCTTCCGGGGTCCACCTGACCTTACCCACTGCAGCTGTAGTACCGAGACCGGAGACCCGAGCTCTGCAGTGGGAAGTGGCCATGCGGATCTAGCACAGGTTTCCTAAGTGTCATACAAGCGCCGCTTCTGCTGTGCATGTGTTGTTGCTAGGATCTTTCTGGAGGGTCTCAGGGGGAATTGTTTGTTTTCCTCTCGCCTCGGAGAAATATTTGCATTGAAACCTGAATGTAGGTCATTTTCCTACCTCCATCCTATAAGAAAGACACTTCTCTCCTGAGAAGGGCTGGGGGAGGGGGAGGGATCTTCACTGATCTTTTCCTTGCGTGTCTGCAACTTTTCCTTTTTATCTTGTGTCCCTGCTGGGCGACCCAGAACCACGGGTGGGGCAACTGCAGGATGGTGGTAGGGAGTAGAAGCTCTGTGAGTCACTCTAGGTCTTGGCTTCTGCTAATTTTCTGCTTGGGAGGCACCAGCATACAAATAGCCTAGGGTACATTTGAGTATGGCAAAGGAAGTAGAGGAAAAACAGAGACAGATGGTGGCATGGGTAGGAAAGGAACGCTGCGGGTTGGGACTTGAGTCGGGAAAGGAGGTGCCCCAGAGAGAAGTCAGCGCTCTACAGACTATGCTGCCGGCTTAGGTGTGGTCTTGCGGAGTCTTCTGCAGATTTTGCTGTAGGAGTTGGAGCCAGGGCGTCCCTGGGGAATATCTGAGGGCACCTGCAGCCTGTAGTTTCCGGGAAGCACCCAAGGTTATTATTGGTCGGGGTTACAGTCGCGTTTTATTTCAGTGTATCGGTAACGAGAGTATATTGTCTGAGTCAGGGGATCCAGAATGTTTATTCTCACAGGAGCTAAATTTATCTAAGGAGTTAAATAAAACTTACATCTGAAATCCAAACAAGTGCTTTCACCCTGGGAAGTACGTTCTGCTAAGCTTCTTCCTGACACAATGTTACAGAAATAGAAAACTTTGTCAAGTGACTCTTTTTTTTTTTTCTTTAACCAGTGTTACTATATATAAAATGACAGTGATACTGTGGCCAGCCTTAGAAACTGCACTCCTGGAGCTTCCTTAGACTGAGGAACAAAATTCTAATGGATGCAGAAGCCTGCCACTGGAATCCTAGCACCAGAGAGACTGAGGCAAGAGAATGGTAATTCAAGGCCAGCCTGGGCCACTGAGACCTTGTTAAAGGACAAAAGCAGTCTTCCCCTTACTTAGCATCCCTCCTGCTGGCATAGAGTTCTGCAGGAAATGATCTAAAAGTGGATTCCCTCATAGGAGGACATCACAGAGAAGAAAAACAAGAAAGATGTGTCTATCCAAAGAGATGCTGAAAAAGCCCCTGGAATGAGTAGATGTCAGATGAACCTATCAAAAGTAGTTTAACACCTACCGATTTAACTGATTTTAAACCTATCATTCCCTATGTTTATACTTAAATATTCTGAATTTGTATGCAGAGCACCATTGCTGGCCACAGTTGATTACCATTTAGAATTATAAAGCAATATCTCTTTAGAATACGCTGTTGTTACGTCTGCAACTAAGGGGTGTGTGTGTGTGTGTGTATTTTCAAACTTGCTTATATACATGCTACAAGTGCATGTGCGTGGGGCTAGAGAGATGGCTCAGTGATTAAGAGCACTGGCTGCTCTTCCAGAGGTCCTGAGTCCAATTCCCAGCAACCACATGGTGGCTCACAACCATCTGTAATGAGATCTGGTGCCCTCTTCTGGCATGTGGGCATACATGGAGGCAGAATGTTGTATACATAATAAATAAATAAAATCTAAAAAAAAAAAAGTGCATGTGCGTATGAAGACCTGTGTCTTCCTTAATCACGTTCCACCTAATTTTTGAGGCAGGTTCTCTCACTGAATCTCACTAATTGAGCTAGCCTGGCTGGCCAGGGAGCACCAGGGCCCCTCCTGTCTGAGCACAGGGATTGCCCCAGCGGCTTTTTACATGGGTGTGGGGTTCTGAATGCCATTACTCATGCTTTTATGGCAAGCACTTGAGCTGTCTGAGCCACCTCCTCAGCCCTTGCAACTGAATTTGTTGATCTTGCTTGTGAGTCTACTGTCCCCTGGAAAGAGAAAGACTAGCTCTTCTCGTCAGATGTCACTGTGTAAGATTAGTTCTCTCTCAGGGTCCATTTGCCTCTCTGCGGAGAGAAATGCAGCCGCTAGACCAGGAAAACCGCATTGTTTCCCAAATGCATTGAGAATTTCATAGGTCCCCTTGTTACCCTTTGAGTTCTTTCTAGACAGAATCTGCTCATCAACTGGAATGTGAACTCTAATACTCGTGTACCATTGCCCACCTCTTTGTTTTGAGACGATCTTCACAGACCCAGGCTTGCCTCGCATTCTCAATCCACCTGCCTCAGTGCCCCACATTCGGAGAGTATAACTGTGTCCTGTAACAGACGAGTTTTTCTCTTTTTAAGTAAATGATACTTTATACTTCTTCAGCTTAAGAAATGCACATGGGAGCTAGGGCTATGGCTTAGCAGTTATGAGCACTTGCTGCTCTTCCAGGAGACCTCAGTTCTGTCCCAGTACCCACGTCAGAGGCTTACAACCACCTGTAACCCTAGCTTTAGGAGATCTAACACCTTCTGGCCTTACAAATACACATACCTGTAGCATACACTCATACATTTCTAGCCTTTTCAGACACAAACACACACACATTAAATAGTAAAAATAAAATAAAGAATGGCAGATTTTTTTTTAAAGATAGAAAAATGCAAATGATTATGCCAAAGTCCGCTTTACCTTCCAAGAGACATGGGAGTGTCAAGCCAGATGAAATCCATCCACCTAGGTGGTTGGTTCCTTCACTTCATGGCTGGTATCTTCCCAGGGATATAGCATCTGTTAAGAATTAAAATAGCTCTAAGCTGTCTTTATTTCTGGTGATGGAAAATCCAACTAGTATCAGTGTGACTCATTCAAGACTTTTTCCTCTTCTGGAAGTTATAGCTTTGTTGCCCTGTGACCGTACGCTCCTGTGCAATGTTAATGGACAGGTTTGTGGGGTTCACGATGGTGAGATGAAGTGCCAGCCAGCTTCGGCACTGCCCTGCCAAGCTATACGCCAGGAGACTGGCACGATTGTTCTTCACTCGACCCCTTTTCTCATACAGTTGTACACTAAAATGTTCTTTTCTGGATCTTTCCCAAGATACTCTTTCCCCTTTCTAATTAGAAACACCACAGTCTGTAATCAGGCATGGGCTTGGAGCTAATTATTAGCTTTACCTTCTTGTTAATATGTTTTATACTCAAGAGAGGGTCGATTGTTGTCAAACTTGCTCTTCGGCTTGGTTCAGAGACAGCGTGGCCAAGGCCAAAACTGTTGGATCTGGAGACACACTGCCTGGGTGTGTGGGAATTCAGGCTTTGCTCTGTGGTAGCTGTGTGTTTTCAAGGACATTATTTAATCTCTCTGATGCTTAATTCCCTCACCTGCAAAGCAGAGGTAGTAATACATGCTGTGGGAAGTTAAATGAGTTGATATTGAACTGCTGAAAACAGGGCTTAGTCCGTACTAAATAAGTATTGTAAATAATATTCTCCTCCTACTCTCCCTTCAGTCTCTAACTACCCTTCAGTCCCTCTGGCCTCCTTTCTCTACCGTGTAAACATGGATGGGTCTGTGGACCTCTACACTTGCTGTCTCCGTACCTGTGTTCTCTCTCACACATCATCGCAATAGCCTTCATGGCTTCCGTCCCGGTGTTTCCCCTCCTCTGTGTGTGCACTCTGCTCTCACACCCTGACTGCTTTCTAGAGGTTCAGAGCTTCCTTCTCAGTTCACTGCAGCCCTGCCCCTGGAGTGCTATATGGCATGTATAATACAATGGAGAAGAGAAGGACTCGCTCTGAGGGAGTGGCAGGCATGGAATTGGAGGCAAGCAGTCCTCTATGTAAAATGCTTTGGCCTAACTGAATTTGTCAAATTGGCTTCACCTGATAATTTTTTTGGCATCTCTTTTTTTGCTTGTATTCCGTATTATCTCTCTTTTCTTGTCTAAGGTTGTTGCCTTCAAACCATTAGAAGCATGATGTGAAATGTGTCTGGAGCCCTGTGTCATGGGAGGCTCAACTCTAGGCTATCTGCCATGACCCAAAATTCCAAGTCAGGTGTCAGGGTACCCTGGTTCATGGAACATTATGCATGGAGAGTCTCTGCCACCATACATAAGAGAAACCTGTTGATGAAAGTTTCTGTCCCGTCTGGTCCTACAGCAGTTACACAGAAGCTTATATTAATTCTAAATTATTTGGCCTGTTAGTTCAGGCTTATTATTAACTAACTCTAACAACTTAAATTAATCCATACTTCTTGTCTATGTTTAGTCATGTGACTTGGTACCTTTTCTCAGTAAGGCATTCTTATCTTGATTCCTCTGTATCTGGCTGGTGACTGACTCACTGCCTTTCCTCTTCCCAGAATTCTCCTCATCTGATCACCCTGCCTATACTTTCTGCCTGACTACTGGCCAATCAGTGTTTTAGTAATCTAATGCGAGTAACAAATCTTTACAGCGTACACCTGTCATGTTAAGAAACCTGTCATCATACACAAGGGAAACCTGACTAACAAATCTAACGTCCTTGAATTCTTGGGGAACAGAACTGCCATTTTTTCTGAAA